GTGTGTTGTGTGGTGGACAGGTGTTCTAGGACGGGTGTGTTGTGTGGTGGACAGGTGTACTAGGACAGGTGTGTTGTGGTTGGACAGGTGTACTGGACAGGTGTGTTGTGTGGTGGACAGGTGTACTAGGACAGGCGTGTTGTGGTGGACAGGTGTACTTGGACGGGTGTGTTGTGTGGTGGACAGGTGTACTAGGACAGGTGTGTTGTAGTAGACAGGTGTGCGGACTGTTGTGTGTGGTTGGACAGGTGTACTAGGACAGGTGTGTTGTGTGGTGGACAGGTGTACTAGGACAGGTGTGTTGTGTGTTGGACAGGCTGTACTAGGACAGGTGTGTTGTGTGGTGGAGGTGTTCTAGGACAGGTGTGTTGTGTGGTGGACAGCTGTACTAGGACAGGTGTGTTGTGTGGTGGACAGGCTGTGCTAAGACAGGTGTGTTGTGTGGTGGACAGGCTGTACTAGGACAGGTGTGTTGTGTGGTGGACAGGTTGTGCTAGGACAGGTGTGTTGTGTGGTGGACAGGCTGTACTGGGACGGTGTAGTGTGTGGTTGGACAGGTGTGCTAGGACAGGTGTGTTGTGTGGTGGGCTGTACTAGGACAGGTGTGTTGTGTGGTTGGACAGGTGTACTAGGACAGGTGTGTTGTGTGGTGGACAGGTGTACTAGGACAGGTGTGTGTTTGTGTGTGGTTGGACAGGCTGTACTAGGACAGGTGTGTTGTGTGGTGGACAGGCTGTACTAGGACAGGTGTGTTGTGTGGTGGACAGGTGTTCAGGACAGGTGTGTGTTGTGTGGTGGACAGGGCTGTACTAGGACAGGTGTGGTGTGTGGTGGACAGGTGTTCTAGGACAGGTGTGTTGTGTGGTGGACAGGTGTACTGGGACAGGTGTGTTGTGTGGTGGGCAGGCTGTACTAGCACAGGTGTGTTCTGTTGTGGACAGGTGTTCTAGGACAGGTGTGTTGTGTGGTGGACAGGCTGTACTAGCACAGGTGTGTTGTGTGGTGGACAGGTGTTCTAGGACAGGTGGGAGGCTGTCTGGGACAGGTGTGTTGTGTGGTGGACAGGCTGTACTGCAGGTGTGTTCTGTTGGGGACAGGTGTTCTAGGACAGGTGTGTTGTGTGGTGGACAGGCTGTACTAGCACAGGTGTGTTCTGTTGTGGACAGGTGTACTAGGACAGGTGTGTTGTGTGGTGGACCAGGCTGTACTAGGACAGGTGTGTTGTGTGGTGGACAGGTGTTCTAGGACAGGTGTGTTGTGTGGTGGACAGGCTGTACTGGGACAGGTGTGTTGTGTGGTGGACAGGTGTACTAGGACAGGTGTGTTGTGTGGTGGACAGGTGTACTAGGACAGGTGTGTTGTGTGGTGGACAGGCTGTACTGGGACAGGTGTGTTGTGTGGTGGACAGGTGTTCTGGGACAGGTGTGTTGTGTGGTGGACAGGCTGTACTGGGACAGGTGTGTTGTGTGGTGGACAGGCTGTACTAGGACAGGTGTGTTGTGTGGTGGACAGGTGTTCTAGGACAGGTGTGTTGTGTGGTGGACAGGCTGTACTGGGACAGGTGTGTTGTGTGGTGGACAGGCTGTACTGGGACAGGTGTGTTGTGTGGTGGACAGGCTGTACTAGGACAGGTGTGTTGTGTGGTGGACAGGTGTTCTAGGACAGGTGTGTTGTGTGTGGTGGACAGGGCTGCTGGGACAGGTGTGTGTGTGTGGTGGACAGGCTGTACTGGGACAGGTGTGTTGTGTGGTGGACAGGCTGTACTGGGACAGGTGTGTTGTGTGGTGGACAGGCTGTACTGGGACGGTGTGTTGTGGTGGACAGGCTGTACTAGGACAGGTGTGTTGTGTGGTGGATAGGTGTGAAATCTCTCTCTCTCTCTCTCTCTCTCGTGAAAATTATTGTCGTTCACACACACACACACACACACACACGTCTCTTAAATTATTACACCATAAAAAATAAACTTTGATTTAGTGAATTACCAACAGTGGAAAAAAAATTATCTCATTTCTGCCCCTCCTCACCACTGCCCCTCAAACCCCCCCTCCTCCCCCATTACCGCCGCCCTCGCCCCTCCCACCCCCTTTGCAACCATAAACTGTACTGGCTGAGTTATACCAGAGTCAAGTCCAGTTCGCCTGTCCTCAAGTTTTAATAGAGTGTTAAAAACAATAGTCACATTAAAATTACGTTTCATGTGTAATCCATGTTCGTTGGCGTAAGATAATCGGGTTAGATTATTGAGGTTTTTTTAAAAGATAATCGGGTTAAATTATGTTTTACGATAATCCTGTTAATTGATTTAGTTTTTACGATAATCATGTTGTATAATTGAGTTTTTTTATGATTATTGTGTTGAATTATTTTGTGTAAGGAAGTCAATTACTAAGACTATATAATCCCTATTTGATAATAATCGTTAATATAATTGACGATACTAGCTGCCACTCTATCATGCGTTAGCTACCCGTGATAAGGTGAAGCTAGTGGTTGTGTTTTGCTATTTGCTATTTAGCGGTGGTGTGTTGCTATTATATATTCAACCCACACCCACCTTTTTCAGTGCCCCGCCTCAACCCAACCCAACCCAACCCAGCCAACCCAACCCAACCCAGCACCCAGCTAGCACAACCCAACCTACACACCAACCCAACCCAACCTAACCCAACCCAACCCCAACCCAGCCCAACCTTCACCCACCCAACCTAGCACAACCTAACCCAGCCCAGCCCAGCTTCCCAGCCCAGCCCAGCCTAGCACCGCCCAGCCTACCTAACCCACTCCAGCTACCCAACCTACCCCCCAACCCAACCTACCCACCCAGCTGCTTGCCAGCCCCAACCCACCCAACCCAGCCCAGCCTGCTTCCAGCCCAGCCTAACCCAGCCCAACCCAACCTCAACCCAACCCAACCCAGCCCAGCCTCAACCCTAACACAACCTAACACAACTACACAACCTCCCACAACCCAACCCAACCCAACCTAACCCAACACACCTAACATGCTAACCCAACCTAACCTAACCTAACCCAACCTAACCTAACCCCTGGTAAGTGTGATATAGGGACGAGGTTCAAGGGCGTATGTCAACTTGTGAGAACACTTTTACTGTCAACATAAAACTCCAGTATAGTGAAGATAGCAAAGTAAAGATCCTCCTCCTCCTCCTCCTCCTCCTTCGTCTGTTCTTCTTCCTCCTCTTCCTGTTCTTCCTTCTCTTCCTGTTCTTCCTACTCTTCCTGTTCCTCCTACTCTTCCTGTTCCTCCTCTTCCTCCTCCCCTTGTTCCTCCTCATGTTCCTCCTCCTCGTCCATCACCACCACCACCACTTCCTCCTACTGCCCCTGTTCTCCTCCTCCTCCTGTTCCTCCTCCTCCTCCTCCTCTCCCTCCTCTCCCTCGGGATGGAAAAAAAATCGAATGGATAAATCCCGCATAATAGAAGTGATAATAAAAGAATGAGAAGAGGAATCAGAAGGATGGAAAGATAAGTAGATATAAGGATGGGTAGATAGACAAAGAAAAAGATAAGCAAGTAGATAGAGGAGATGACATACATACATACATACATACATACATACATACATACATACATACATACATACAGCCTTCATGTATTATTCCTATGATAAATATACAGTAATTACACTACAGATACCCACAACAAAATTACTAAATTCATAACTACAAAAAAAAAATACATAAACTACAGTGAAGTTGAGAGATATACCAGTATATTTCAGGAAACTTGACCCATATTCACAAAAGCACGTAAGTTGTTTTTTGTTTGTTTTTCTCTTTTGTTTTATTCTGAGTGATGGGATAATGTAGTTAAATAATTCACTTAAGTTACGAGAAAAATAATGGTTTCTCTTTGGATGTTACGTTTAAATGTATTTATTTAGTTGATAGATAGATGGAGAGAGAGAGAGAGATAGATAGATAGAGAGAGAGAGAGAGAGAGAGAGAGAGAGAGAGAGAGAGAGAGAGAGAGATTTGGGTACATGAACTAAAAAATGACGTCGAAATTACACACAGAGACTCGACCATACTAAGATACTTTCCTCGTCCCATAAGTTAGGTTTTGGAAATTAAGTTTAAAGTTACTGAAAATAATGGACCCAGATCTGATTTATCCTTTTAACTTCTACTCAAAGAAGTTAAAAGACCCCTTGAAGAGGGAGGTTAGGTTACGTTAGGTTTAGGTTACGGTTAGGTTAGGTTAGGTTACGTTAGGTTAGGTTACGTTAGGTTTAGGTTACGGTTAGGTTAGTTTTGTGTTTAGTTTACCCTACCAAAAATTCTGCCACTACTGACTTGACTGCAGGATGTTTTTTTTTTAAATAAGGGATACTGTATTACCTCTCTCTCTCTCTCTCTCTCTCTCTCTCTCTCTCTCTCTCTCTTTTTTTACCTACCCAACCCAACCAACCAGGAAACCCAACACCACAGCAGTTATTCCCAGCACAAGAGGAGGTTGAGGGCAATAGTCTGTTTGTGTAACATTATTCCCGCCTCGCCACAATGTTGTGTTATGACCCCCATCACACAACACCGGGCTTTAAATTCCACTGTATTTTGACGAGACAACATTTTTGGGTGTTTTTTTTTTTTTAATGTTTGATGTTACTGACTGTAGCGATTATGTTGTTTTACCGAAGTAGAGATTTATAATGAAATTGATAAAGTGTTGAAGAATGGGATAATAATAATAATAATAATAATAATAATAATAATAATAATAATGAAACAATAATTAATACATGAATAACAACAGCAACAACATACAATAACAATAATCAATAACCTAACCTAACCTAACCACACTGTAAAACCATAAGAATAGCACAGAATATATAAATAAATATTATATATAAAAAACCCACACTACAGAAAACGGTTGAGGGGGAACTGATCTGATTCCACGCACCTCTCTCTCTCTCTCTCTCTCTCTCTCTCTCTCTCTCTCTCTCTCTCTCTCTCTCTCATGTACTCACACTGCACTTGAAGAATGATCCTCTTAGAGACGGAGGGCGGCACGTCGTTGGAGGCGATACAGAGATACGCCCCCATGTGGAGACGAGACACAGTGGGTATATGGAGAACTTCTGAATCCGTCACCTTCACTGTGGAAGAAGAGATAGGAGAACACAGGGGTTACTAGGAGAACTTGAAGGAGATAGTGTATATTATCTCTCTCTCTCTCTCTCTCTCTCTCTCTCTCTCTCTCTCTCATGACCAATTCATCTAATAGATATAACCCCCTAATTCTTGCGCATTGCACTAACACCCGTAACACTACTAAAAGTAATTGAAGAAAAGCACGGAGGCAGATTCGTAAAAGACACACACACACACACACACACACACACACACACACACACACACACACACACACACAGCCCTCCTCCAAATTGCTTCGGACTGGACAAAAATTTTCCAGAGGGTTCTGTAGTGACGTTCTGGAGAATAAGCGATAATAAACAATGTATATATTCAGTTGCATGGGACACCCCTCCCCCTCTCTCCACTTACTCCCCACCCCCCCCCTCCTTACCTACCGAGGATATCAGGTATAAACAAAGTATATACACACACACACACACAACAAAACACTCATCTACAGACCCCCCCTACACACACACCCACACATACCTACACACATAAACACACAAACCCATACACAACCTCCCTCCCCCACATTTTCCCCACACACAAACATCTGGAAGTTGGAATCCTTGTAAAATGATGCAGTCTTATCAGTTAACACGGAAAAGATAAGCAAGCGATATATGGGTATAAAAGTTACTTCCAGTAGTCTCAAACAGGCTAGTTCTATCTCTCTTATTTCTCACAGGGTCTCATATCTCTCTTATTTCTCACAGGGCCTCTATCTCTTTTATCTCTCACAGGGTCTCTCTCTCTCTTATCTCTCACATGGTCTCTCTCTCTTATCTCTCCCCTTGGGGGTCTCTATCTCTTATCTCTCACAGGGTCTCTCTCTTATTTCTCACAGAGGTCTCTCTCTTATCTCTCCCTGAGATCTCTCTCTTATCTCTCACGGTCTCTCTCTTATCTCTCCTGAGGTCTCTCTCTCTTATCTCTCACCAGGGTCTCTCTCTCTTATCTCTCTGGGGTCTCTCTCTCTTATCTCTCACAGGGGTCTCTCTCTTATCTCTTACAGGGTCTCTATCTCTCTTTTCTCTCACAGGGTCTCATATCTCTCTTATCTCTCACAGGGTCTCTCTCTCTTATCTCTCACAGGGTCTCTATCTCTCTTTTCTCTCACAGGGTCTCTATCTCTCTTTTCTCTCACAGGGTCTCATATCTCTCTTATCTCCAAGCCTTCCCTGTGCTTCAAAACGTTTAACACTGGTGACTCTCTCTCTCTCTCTCTCTCTCTCTCTCTCTCTCAGAACAACTCCTCCTTTGAAGTTGGTCTCAGGGTTCCAGGTTATCGAGGTCTGTGTCCGGACCACAGTCTCTCTCTCTCTGGTCTCCACCGGCCCGGAACACCGTCCTGACCCTATCCTATGTCACACTTTTTATCACCTATTTTCATGTTTTAAGACCTCTCTCTCTCTCTCTCTCTCTCTCATCTCTCTCTCTCTCTCGCCTTCCTTCCATCATAACTCCTTCCTCTTTCTTCCTCTCCCCCTCCTCCCCCACTCCTTCCTCCCACCTACTCCCCCCCCACTGTGTTAGGCGCAGGAGGAGTTACCACGTGGGAGTAAGTGACAGGGGTGGACCCCTAGACTATCGTAACGAGGATTATGTCACCTTCAAGCTCTAACCTCCCCGAATACCAAACAGCTGGAAGGAGGAGGGAAGGGGGATTGAGGGTGAGGAGGGAGGGTTAAGGAGGTGAGGAGGAGAAAGGGGTTAAGGGAGTGAAGGAGGAGGAAGAAGGGGGTTAAAGAATTGAGGGAGGAGGAGAAGAGTTAAGGGGTGAGGAGGAGGAGGAAAGGGGTTAAGGTGAGGAGGAGGGGGTTAGGGGTGAGGGAGGAGGAGAAGGGTTAAGGGGTGAGGAGGAGGTTAAGGTGAGGGAGGAGGAGGAGTGAGGAGGAGGAAATGAGGAGGTTGAGGTGTGTGGAGAGAAAGAAAGGAGAAAGAAGAAGGAAGAGATGGTGAGAAGGGATGGATGTGGAGGATTGAAGAGGGTGTGTGTGTGTGAGGGACAGGTGTGTATGAGATGCCTGATTTATGGCAGGTACACCAGTGGCCATCATCACTCTTCCTACCTGTATATAGCACAGGTGTATTGGACGGTCATGCACTTGTGTGGGGGGTGGGGGAGGGGGTGTGTGGGGGAAGGGGGTATGTGGGGGGGGGAGCGGGTGAGGGGGAAGGGACGTGGGGGGGGCTGTAAAGTAGACGTTTGTATTATGTTTATGAGCCCGAAATAAATAAAAAACTCACAAAATAAACCACAAAACTCACAACATAAACCACAAACTCACAAAATAAACCACAAAAACACAAAATAAATCACAAAATCACAGAATAAACCACAAACTCACAAAATAAACCACAAACTCACAAAATAAACCACACACTCACAAAATAAACCACAAACTCATAAAATAAACCACAAACAAATTAAACCACAATTTCACAAAATAAACCACAAACCTCACAAAATAAACCAAAAACTCACAAAATAAACCCAAAACTCACAAAATAAACCACAAAATTCACAAAATAAACCACAAAACTCACAAAATAAACAGCAAAATCACAAAATATACCACAAAAATCACAAAATCTACCACAAACTCAAAATAAACCACAGAATCACATAATAAACCACAAAACTCACTAAATAAAATACAGAATCACAAAATAAATCACAAAACTCATAAAATAAACCACAAAATCACAAAATAAATCACAAAATCACAATATAAACCGCAAACTCACAAAATAAACCACAAACAAATAAACAACAAACACAAAATAAACCATAAACTCACAAAATATACCACAAACCCACAAAATAAACAACAAATTTACATAATAAACCACAAAACTCACAAAATAAACCACAAAACTCACAAAATAAACCACAAAAACTCACAATTAATGCCGTTGTTTATGTCAATCTTGCCACCATCCTCCCTCTTCCACGATATAACAGGTTTAGGTGACCCTCTTGCCCTACACTCCAGGGTGACGTCTTGCCCTTCCTTCACCACCACCTCCGAGCTGCTCTCGTCGTCAATGATGTCCGGCGGTACTGTTCAGGGAGAGAGAAAAAAGGCGTGAGGATGTAGAGAAAATAACGTGAGGATGTAGAGAAAATAACGTGAGGATGTAGAGAAAATAACGTGAGGATGTAGAGAAAATAACGTGTGTGTAGAAAAAATAACGTGTGTGTAGAAAAAATAACGTGAGGATGTAGAGAAAATAACGTGAGGATGTAGAGAAAATAACGAGAAAATAACGTGAGGTGTGTGTAGAAAAAATAACGTGAGGATGTAGAGAAAATAACGTGTGTGTAGAGAAAATAACGTGAGGATGTAGAGAAAATAACGTGAGGATGTAGAGAAAATAACGTGAGGATGTAGAGAAAATAACGTGTGTAGAGAAAATAACGTGAGGATGTAGAGAAAATAACGTGTGTAAAGAAAATAACGTGTGTGTAGAGAAAATAACGTGAGGATGTAGAGAAAATAACGTGAGGATGTACAGAAAATAACGTGAGTGTAGAGATAATGGCGTGAGGAAGGTATTAAATCATTCAACATTTAATTAATCCCACGAGAAAACATCCACCAGTTTAATCAGTAAAAAATAACTATAAGCTGACTAAACACACCTCATTACATCATTAAAAACATCTAAACATTAAACATTAGCGATATTTAGAGAGCTAATCCTTAGGATGTTTAAAATAGAACACCTAAACATTATTAAAAACATCTAAACATTAGCGTTCACTAAATACCGTTCATGATCACAGAGCGTTTCATCTCTGTTTGATTATATTTTGTAAAGGAATTTTGTTATATCTAGGTTAGGTTAGAGTTAGACAGACAGACAGACAGATAGACAGACAGACAGACAGACACCCAGACAGACACGCAGACAGACACCCAGACAGAGAATAAGAATAAAAAAGACAAGAATATAAAAATAGTAACACGAGAGAGAACACCAACGAGAGACAAGAGACAGACTCAAAAGCAACAGGAGAGAGAGAGAGAGAGAGAGAGAGAGAGAGGCACGGGACGTAATTTTAGAGTGAGAGACGTGAGAGGTTAGGTCCTTCATCAGCGTCTCTCAGTCACAAGTGTTCAAAAAATCCACAAATGGAGCTCTAGGGACTTGCCACTCTGCTCCCTGGGCGAGTTTATGAAGGGAGTTAAGACTGCCTTGCATCCAGCCCCCCAGTCTTTATTATTCTCTTGTTGTTGTTGTTTTGGGTCCTACTGTTGTTGTTATTACTGTTGTTTTTGGTCCTGTTGTTGTTGTTGTTGTTGTTGTTGTTGTTTTGGGTCCTACTGTTGTTGTTATTACTGTTGTTTTTGGTCCTGTTGTTGTTGTTGTTGTTGTTTTGGGTCCTACTGTTGTTGTTATTACTGTTGTTTTTGGTCCTGTTGTTGTTGTTGTTGTAGTTTGTTGTTTTTTGGCCCCACTGTTGTTGTTGTTGTTGTTGTTGTTGTTGTTGCTGTTGTTGTTGTTGTTTGTTGTTGTTGCTTGTATGGAGTCCTACTGTTGTTGTTGTTGCTGTTACTGTTGCTGTTGTTGTTGTTGTGGTTGTTGTTTTTGGCCCCACTGTTGTTGTTGTTATTTGTCATTATTATACTGTTGCTGTTTTAGGCTTTGCTGCATCTGTTGTTTTGTTCTGTACTTGTTTAATGAAGATGGTAGGAAGAGACACACACATCATCATCATCACTAAGACACTGCTTCACACATACAGCACGAGCTCCTCACTATTACTGCTTGTCATAATGTTCACTTTTCCCTCTATAGAATTACAAAGGGAATGGCCGGGCGGGGAAGGAAGCACGGTGGGCAGTATGAGACCTTCCTGACGAGGGTAAGGCAGAGGTTAGTGTCCTTCCACCCGCTTGTAAATATCATGTTTCCTGCTACTGAGATGCCGTGGCTCAGCAGTTAACGCCCTGGACTTCCAAACCGAGAGACACGCGTTCGATCCCATGGCCAAGGCAGGGTTACGGTGTGAGAAAATGGGCAGGTAACTCTCTCTTGACCGCACACTAAGAGAGCTCTCTCCTCACTTGCCAGGTCTCATCCACACATAATGAGGTATGAGGATAGGATAGGATAGGCTGGTTAGATTAGGTTAGGTTATGTTAATAAGACAGTAGCCAAAACTCCCCAGCAATCAACTCTCCCCGCAGCCTCGAGGCGTCGTCCTCTTCCTATGAAGATCTCGATGCAACAAGCTTGTCAGTAAATTGTCCACTTGTCTTCCCCTTCCTTCCCTCTCCCCACCCTCCTATCCAACACTTCCTCCCTTTCTCCCATCCTCTTCCCCCCTCTCCTGCACCCTCCCCCATCCCTCACTACCTCCCTTCCCCTTCCCTTCCCCATAACTCAGCCCGGTGCGGTCATTGGCCCAAACACTGGGTAGTTTGTTATCCTGGGAGAGGGTCAGACTAGCGCCACAATGTTGGACGGAGATGGCCGGAACTGGCTACTAAAACCTAGACCGTCCACTCTGTATCCGCGCCCCTCCGGAACCTCGCTCAAGAACCACCCGCCAGCGCCCACCACTCACTCTCCTGGACGTCAGACGATCCTACCTCACTTCTCACGGGCGCCAGACGATTCTACCTCACTCTCACGGGCACCAGACGATCCTACCTTACTCTTCACGGGCGCCAGACGATTCTACCTCACTCTCACGGGCACCAGACGATCCTACCTTACTCTTCACGGGCGCCAGACGATCCTACCTCACTCTTCACGGGCGCCAGACGAACCTACCTCACTCCTCACGGTCGCCAGACGATCCTACCTCACCCCTCACAGGCGCCTGGTATTGTGTCTGGCATGTGGCTCTGAGGACTGTGTGTGTGTTACTTAAAAAAAGGACGGAAGAGCTCGCCAAGGAAGAGGACTACAAACAGACTTCTTTTACTTGCGACATATATTCGTGCTATTGGAGTTTTAAGTTAGTTTACCTTAAAAAAAAGTTTGGTTTATGTTTTGAGGGATAACTATAAAGGAACTTGTCTTCGTTTACGATAGAGAGGTGGGAGTGGTAAGTTTATTTACGATTTGGAGTTTGTTTATATAGAGGGGAGGGGACAACTGTACACAGCCTCCCCTCTCCTTTACGATTCATTGGTGGAGATCATCGACGTGTTTACTCTGGATTAGAATTGCTTGCTTTATATACATTACGTTCGTCTCTCTGTCAACATCGTTTTCTAAGTTTATTGATTGAAGGTGAATGCCGTAAGTTTTTTAAGTCAACATTGAGTTAAAGATACATCAATAAATAACTTAAATTTGGCTAACCTAACCTAACCTAACCTAACCTAACCAACACCGAGATAGCGTGAGTGTGGGGCGACGTCTTCCTTCATAAACGATCCACTAAGTTTTACTCCTCTTGTGTCACTTCCTGATCCTCTCTAACTTAAGGACTTTTGTTTTAAGGTTTATTATTTCGTCAATAGGTTTGGTTTTGTTTGACATTTCATGATAATGTTGTTGTATTTTATCTCTCTACCGTAAATAGATTCTGGTAGTACATCCATTGTTATTGTAGATGTCTCTCTCTCTCTCTCTCTCTGTCTCTCCATATCGTCAAAATTTAATAAACACCACATTAACTCATCGACAAACACGCAATTCCTTTAAAGTTCTCAATAACATCATCTCTCTACCACCAACAACCTCTCCACTGACTGACACACCCAAACAACAGCGTGTCTTAAACTCCTTTGGACGACGAGTGTCATTCCCGCGGACACCACCACCACCACCACCTCCACCACCTCCTTCTCCCTCCCTCCATCATCTGTCTCAAGACCTGTAGAAGAAGCTACAGGAATCGACCACTTAGGTATATTGGCCGGCACAAGAAGCAGGCGGGGAACTGAGACGATCAAATTGTCAACGAGTTCTGTGTGTGTGGTGGGGTAGAAGGGGGAGGGATGGGGGGAGAGGTTCCTTAAGAAAGTTTCCTCCTTGGATTCTGTGAGGAGGTGGGCGGCGTTATTGTGTTTGTGATGATGGGGAACCAAAAAAGTTTCTCTTCCCTCCCTCCCTCTCTCTCTCTCTAAGTCGATGGATTGGTTCACTTACTCCCAGACCCCAGGCAGAGCTGATCAAGTTGTCTGACTTATACGGCCCGTAAACCTCCTCATCGCGGCCATTGTTGAGGGGGTGGGGGGAAAAGTAGGGATGGATGGATGGACGGAGGAAGGGATGGAAGGATGGGGGGATGGAAGGATGGGGGGATGGAGAGAAGGGGGATGGAGGGAAGGGGGATAGAGGGTGGGAGGGAGGAAGGCTTCTTAAACTTTGTCTGGCTGAGTTGACCTGAAACTAAGGTTTTGGTCTTTGTGTTTCTAGCTGGTCGTGACCGAGGGTGAGATCTCTAACCTACCCTAACCTAACCTAACCTACCCTAACACGAAATAATGTCTGTAACAACACCCCGATTGGCTCTTAACACAATCTCTCCCCCTAATCCCACAACAAACCACATCTCTCATCACTTCAACTAACCACTCAAACAATCCTCTTCTCACCCCTTCACCTCCTGTCACCCTCCCTCCCCCAACCCACCCCCCTCCCCTCCCCCCTAACTATCCACACATAAACCATCAAATACCAGTCTCTTATCTTCAAATCATTACCAAGTCCCTCAGGCAGATGGTCTCACTGTCTTCCGTTTCCTTCGTGATCTCCGTCAGTAGTGGAGTGAGTTATGAGGGCGTGGGTGAGGCGGAACAAGTGTCGGTACCTCATAAGCCAGGCGAGGTCGTTTTAGGATGCCTTGGCGGCTTCCGACAGACCCTGAGAGATCCTTCCATCCTTCGGTAACGTCTTAGAGAAGGAGGAGGTCTCTCTCTCTCTCTCTCTGTCTCTCTCTCTCTCTGACAAGTACTTCAGTTGATTAAGAGAATTTGGAAAAGTTAGGTCATATATCTTATCGAGTCACTGCTTACATCTCCGGCCATTTTGTTGTGATGAGGGGCAAGTCATGAGGGTGATGGTGAGGAGACAGATGATGGTGATGAAAATGATGATGTTGGTGATGATGAAAGTGATGGTGGTAGTGGTAACGTGGGTGAGGATAGTGATGGTGATGATGGTGGTGGTGGTGTTATCTATGGTGAGGATGGTAAAGGTGGTGATGCTAGTGATGATAATGTCGATAGTGATAATAAGAAGCGTGTCCCATAGCCCATATGGTGCCACGACACGTCACCTAGCCCATATATTTTAGAGGCTGAAAATCCATCAAATTAACAAGAGATAAACAGTGACTGAGAACCTTCTTTACATCATCTAGACAACCAACAAGTGGATTAGACGTCAATAATCTAGAAACTGGTTATCCATAACTCATCCTAGATACCTAGAGACCTCTCCTACTCACCCTGAACATCCAAGAATCCGGTCTGGCTCATCATGGGATCGGAGTTGACCTGACACATGTACTTGCCGCGATCACTGGGCCTTACGTCGGAGATCTTGAGGTACCAGTGTTTGTGGTCATTCCTGGCCAGGGTGAAGCGAGGGTTCTTGGTGATGATGGTGTGGTGAATGGTTAGGATGGTCTGCGTCTCTACGAAGATCCAAGCCACCTGGAAGAAAGGTGAGAGGTGAGAGAAACAGGGATAGGAGGAGGAGGAGGAATCTGGGACGTACAGCTGTTGAAGTGTTTACCACAAAGTAACCTCCCCGGAATGGTCAATTGGAACAGATGGGAAAGAAATAGAAAGAAATATCCTGTCTAATAAAAGTAGAAATGTAATTAAGGAGGGGGGGGGGTTCGTTACCTGGTACTGGTCACTGGACTGATAATGATTACACGAGTCACCTGGACGATTACTTAGAAACTCACCTGGACGATCACCTGAACACTCACCTAAACACACACCTGAACACTTACCTGAACACTCACCTGAACACACACCTGAACACTCACCTGAACACTCACCTGACAAACATACGTAACAAGACTAGGTAAAGCAATAGCCTTGGAATACGCAGGTGGGGGGAAGAGGTTGATACTACAGGTGAGAACAGGTTAAGACATATTATTATTTAACCTCTTTTATCAATGTGTCTTTGTCTCCGTTGTTTATCAATCTATACTACTTCCTTCCTTTCGTTTATTTATTCATTATCTTTAGTTCCTTCTTATGATTTATTGTTTCTCTTATTTTTTTTAACTTTTTTTCTCGTCTCTTTAAAATATTTAGTCATTCTCTTCCTTCTTCTTCCTATTTATCTTCCTCTTCTCATCCTCCTTCTTTCATGCATCTCTTAAAAACTTTCTTTGTTTTCGGTTTTCTCTATTTTTTCTTCTTCTTCTCTTCTCCCTTTTCTTCTTACTCCTCCTCTTCCTCCTCCTCTTCTTCCTCCCCTTTCTCCTCCTCCGCCATCGCTCCTTCCTCCTTTTCATTTAACTTCTATCGACCAGATCTTTATTTTATTTTTTTCTCCTCCACCTCCTCTTAGCGGTCTTCCTCCTCTTCCTCTTTCCTCTTCTCCTCCTCCTCCATCTCATCCTTCCTCTCATTTTCCCTTCCTCTTCTTCTCCCCTCTCCTCCATCTTCTCCTCCTCTTTCTCCTCCTCTTCCTTTTCATTTAAGTGTTAACGAGCTCGTCTCCATTTTCACCGACCCAGTTTGAATGGCTCTAACATCACTATTTTTTTGGAAGGTTGTTGAACGTCTTACAGGAGGGAGGAATTAAGTACAAAATTACAGTCGAAATTACAGTCTGAGAATTACAGGACGTTAAGGAACCTTGCTTGTTAGAGGAAGAGGAGTAGGAGGAGGACGGAGGAAAGGAGGAGGGAAGAGGAAGAAGGAGGAGGAGGAGGAGGAATCATTATCACTTGGCGACATGGTGATCTCTCTCTCTCTCTCTCTCTCTCTCTCTCTCTCTCTCTCTCTGTATAACCCCAAGCCCTGAGATAATATGTAAGCCTTGAAGTATATATAAACACTATTGTTGTATTACTGGCCGAGTGCTTCCCAACAAGACCAGGAAATGAATCACCTTGGAAATTAGTTATGAAGGAAATATTATGTGAGAGATTATTTAACGTGGAAATATAGTTGTGGAAATAAGTTATCTTGGAAATTTAAAGTGTAGGGAATTAATTATATTGGAGAGAGATGTAAGGAAGGGAACTGTAATGGATATTAAAATTAAGGAGAGAGAGAGAGAGAGGCTTTTTCACCACTCTCCACTCTCCCTTACCATCCTCCACTCTCCCTCACCATCCTCCACTCTCCACTCTCCTCACCACCCTCCACTCTCCCTCATTCTCTCCCTCCTCTCCCCTCCCCACCCCCCTCCCCTCTCCCCTCTGCATCCTCCTCCTCTCCCCTCACCCCTCCTCCTCCTCTCACCATCCACTCTCCCTCTCACCTCCTCCACTCTCCCTCCCTCATCTCCACCTCCCTCACCATCCCTCCCTCTCCCTCACCATCCTCCCTCTCCCTCCCACTCTCCCACCCCGCTCTCCCTCTCACCCTCCTCTCTTGCCCCCTCTCCAGTTCGCTCCCTCACCCATCCTCCTCTCCCTCCAGTCTCCCTGCCTCCTCCACTCTCCCCTCCCACCATCCTCCCCCACCCCTCCCCTCCACCACCCATCCTCTCCCTCCCCTCCTGTCCCTCCCCTCCTGTTCTCCCCTCTCTCCCTCTCCTCACCATCCTCCACCTCCCCCACCCCTCTCCTCTCCCTCACCTCCTCCTCCTCATCTCCCCTCACCATCCTCCACTCTCTCCCTCCCCCTCTCCTCTCCCACCCTCCCCTCATCCTCTCTCCCCCTCCACACTCCCTCATTCCTCCCTCTCCCCCTCCCTCACCCCTCTCCCTCTCCACCATCCTCCACTCTCCTCACCATCTCCTCTCCCTCCACCACCTCCTCTCCCCTCACTCCTCCCTTTCCTCCCCATCATCCACTCTCTATCACCCCACCTCCCTCTCCCTCTCCTCCCTCCTCCCCTCCCCTCTCATCCTCCTCCCTCACCCACCCCCTCCCTCCTCCACTCTCCCACCCCTCCACCTCCCTCCCTCTCCCTGCCCACCATCCCCACCCTCCTCTCTACCTCCCCATCCCCTCTTCCTCCCTCCCTCCTCCTACCACTCCCTCCCCCATCTCCCCTCTCCCCTCCCCTGTCCCCCCACTCTTCCCTCACCCTCCACCACCCTCCACTCCCCTCCCCCTCCTCTCCCTCCCTGCCATCCTCCACTCTCCTCACCCCACCTCCTCCCCTCCCACCCTCCTCCTCCCCTCCCATCCCCTCTTCCTCTCCCCCCTCCCCACCCCTCTCCTCTCCTCACCACCTCCCTCTCCCTCACCACCCCATCCTCCACTCTCCCCACCCCTCCCTCTCCCCTCACATCCCCTCCGCTCCCTCCCTCTCCCTCACGCCCTCTCCCTCTCTCCCCCTCCATGCCCCCATCCTACCCTCTCCCTGCCCTCTCCCTTCTCCCCTCTCTTCCCTCCCCTCTCCACTCCCCTTTCTCTCCCTCTCCCTCCCTCCTGCCCTCCCTCTCCCCCCATCCCCACCACCCACTCTTCTCCCCTCCCATCTCCCTCCACCCTCCCTCATTCTCCCTCTCCTACCCCATCCACTCCCCATCTCTCCCCCACCATCACCCATCCCCATCCCTCCGCCTCTCCCCACCATCACTCAGCTTTTCTCCCCTCTCTCTCTCTCCCAAACTCTCCACCATCCCTCCCCCTCCCTCTCTCTCCCCTCCTCTCCACCTCTCACACATCCCCATCTCCCACCAACCTCTCTTCCCTCTCTCTACATCCCCACCACACCCATTCTCCCCCTCCCTCTCTCCACCCTCCCTCTCTCCACCTCTTCCCCACCAACTCTTAATCGAACGCATTAGGAAAATTAACATAGGGAAAACACAGCCTCTTACTTCTAATGACTAAACCTAGACACAATTAAAGTATTTTCTCACAGGTGTACCAAAACACAGTAATGATTGCACACCTGTTCTTTTGTTCTTCAGTGTTCTTCATGGTCGATAGATGTATATAGATAAGAATATAGATAGATAAATAAGGGAGATATTTAAGGTACAGTAAGAAGGTTAATTAAGGTATGGTCTCACAGGTGTGTCAAGGTAGAGTAATTAGGGAATGTGTTCTTTTGTTGTGAATAAATGTTAAAACATTATGGATTTATAGTAATGGTGATAATCAGAATAGTAGTAGTAGTAGTCGGGCAAATGGTTTCAGTCTCAATAAACAAGAATTTACAGATGCCAATGCTCTAAGGTACGGTAGGCCAGTAGAGGTTTGCCCTCCCAATGCGTGTGTGGCTCTTCCTATGACGTCGATCACGCCATGACGAAGTAAGGAATCTCACAGCAAATATGTTGAAGGAAATTTGCCGTGATGTCAGGGTAGAACCGACCCTCCTTCCATTGGACGGTGAGATTTTCCAACATAGGACTTCAAACACATCCAACGAAGCCCGTGTCGACGTCAGTGCTCGAGGATTCTGGACGCGGGGACAGCAAGCCTTCTTCGACATCAGGATTTTTTATCCCATGACCGCATGTCACCTTAACTTAGCTCTCGATGCTGCACACAGGAGGAACGAGAACAAGATAAGGGCATAGGGGAGAGAATTCAGAACGTTGATCAAGGCAGCTTCACTCCTCTGGTGTTCACAACCTCTGGTGGGATGGGACCAAGTGCAAGATGCTTCTACGCCAGACTCGCGGATGTGAAATCCGAACAGAAGCAGCAGCCCAGAAGCTATGTTACAGCCTGGATGAGATGTCGACTGTCCTTCTCTCTCCTTAGGTCGGCTTTGCTCTGCCTCAGGGGAACGAGAGCATCGGCCCTAAAGCCGACAACAGTTGCAAATATTGACTATGAGGCTACTGTCACTGAATGCCGCATAGATCTCATGATATAGGATAGCTACTTTAGTTAAACATCACAGCCCACAAAAAACCTCCATTTATCATAAACTATTAATCTTTAGTAATTCATTGGAGTCAGAGTCTTTAACTTTATCAGAGCCACTAACGAATACTGAGCTACTAAATGAATTCAGAGCTTACCTCTTAAATATGCTTCACAAACGAATATCAGAGCTTTAAATTTAATGAATATCAGAGCTTCACTAAACGAATATCAGAGCTTTAACTTAATGAATTTCAGAGCTTTAACTTAATGAATATCAGAGCTTCACTTAAGAATATCGTTTTAACTTAAATAATATCAGAGCCACTAAACGATATCAGAGCTTCACTAAGAATATCAGAGTTTAACTAAATGAATATCAGAGCTTCACTAAACGAATATCAGAGCTTTATTAATTGAATATAGCCATCAAAACGAATATTGTATTTCACTAAACGAATATCAGAGCTTTAACTTAATGAATATCAGAGCTTCACTAAACGAATATTAGAGCTTCACTAAACGAATATCAGAGCTTTAACTAAATGAATATCAGAGCTTCACTAAACGAATATCAGATTTTAACTTAATGAATATCAGAGCTTTAACTAAATGAATATCAGAGCTTCACTAAACGAATATCAGAGCTTTAACTTAATGAATATCAGAGCTTCACTAAACGAATATCAGAGCTTCACTAAACGAATATCAGAGCTTTAACTTAATGAATATCAGAGCTTCACTAAACGAAATATTAGAGCTTTAAACGGAATATCAGACAACTTTATGAATGTCAGAGCTTCACGTAACGACGAGTCTAAGAGCTCATCCTATCCGGGTTTTTAAGAACGTATTAAAGGCAATTTCTTCTTGTACATCATTACACAGAGTGACTCATAAAGACATCTCTCATCTACCATTATTTCCTGTTTACCTGAGAGAGAGAGAGAGAGAGAGAGAGAGAGAGAGAGAGAAATAAGAAAGACATACAGACAGGTAAACAGAAACAGACATAAAGACAGACAGAGAGAGAGGTAGACAGGTAACTAATGAAGGTATACACCACACAGGTAACACCCTCCACTCATCACAGCAACAGAAGGTCTTTTTCCCCCACCCCTGCTTCTAATCCTCTCCTATATATATCAATCGGGCCGTCCCCAATACGCGATGTGGCCCGATAATGCCCTCTATCCCGTGGGCCATATAGCTGGTGTTTTATATTTGTATAGAAATCGGTTCCTATATTGTTTTAAAGGCTGAGAGAATGACGTGTGCTGAGGTGGTTTTGTGGAGGATTTTTTTGGTTGCTGTTGATATTTTTATTATTATTATTATTATTATTACTATTATTATTATTTATTATTATATTATTATTATTGTTATTGTTGTTGTTGTTGTTGTTGTTGCATCCTACCTTGAAGTCCTTAAGGATACCACCCGTGGGTATCCTAAACAGTGACCCAATAGACAACTAAAGAATCCTGCAGCATCCTTACCTTGAAGCCCTTAAGGTTGTCGACGGAGCAAGGTAGGATCACGTCACGCCCAACCACGACCGTCTTGTTTGGGATCGGCTCCAGGAAGTGAGGCAACATCTCATCTGTATCTGGTGGAGGAGGGAGAGAGAAGAAGGGCGGGTCATTATACCTGTAGGAGATGAGGAGATAAGTGTCTCTTTGTCTCTCTCTCTCTCTCTCCTCTTCTGTGTCTCTGGAAGAAGGAAAAAGAAGAGGAGGCAGTTTCATTTATAGGGGTTAAGGAGATAAAGATGAGATAGAGAGAGGACAGAGATAATGGATAAAGAGACAGAACAGAGAGACGGAACAGAGAGACGAGACGAGACGGAATAGGAAATTAGTAGCAAAGAGAAGGGAATATTGAAGATTGATATAGGGAAATGGTGATAATTGTAGATGTAGTAAAAGAGAATAAAAATGTGGATAGACAGACAGATAAACAGAGACAAAGACAGAGGAGAACGGAGAGAGAGAGAGAGAGAGAGAGAGAGAGAGAGAGAGAGACTCCATCACGGAAAAAATATATCGTAGTTACTGTATATCCTCTCTCCCTCCCTCCTCTCTCCCTCAAACCCCACCCCCTCACCCCAATGTCAACCCCTTCCCACTCCCTCCACCCCCACTCCACGTCCCTCCCCACCCCCCCACCACATTGGACACCAGTACGAGCTAATGGACACTTCGCCATGCTCGACTGGGACTCTCTTCCCCCATCACTCATTTCCTTTTTCCTTTCATCCATTCTTTCCTTCACCTTCTCACTTTCTTTCTTCCTTTCTCCTTTTCCTTCCTCCCTTCCTTTCCTTCCACAACCTCCCATAATTTTCTTCCTCCTTCCTCCCTCTTCTTTTCTCCCTCTTTCCACTCCCTCCCTCTCCCTCCTTCCGTCCTCTCTCCTCCCTCCCTCCCTCCCTCCTCCTCCTCTCTCTCTCCTCCTCCTCCCTCCCTCCTCTCTCCCTCCCTCCCTCCTTGACGTCATCAGAGTGGCCCTCCAGCTGAGTAATATCCACAAGAACACAACACAAACGTAATTTATAATAAGCCCGAAATATCTCTACAAAAACGGGGGAGACGTTTTGGGGAAAGGTTAAAGAAAACGGGAAATTTTAAGGGAGTGAAAAGAAAAAAGGAAGAGAAGAGGATTTTAGGGATGGAAGAAGGGAGAGAAGAGGATTTTAGGGATGAGAAAAGGAGGAGGTGGAAAATTTAGGGAAAAGAGGAAGAAAAAGAAGGGGATTTTAGGGTAAGATGTGGCTTTGGGTATTTAGGGAAGAGAGAAAGTGAGTTTTTTCTCTCTCTCTCTCTCTCTCTCTCTCTCTCTCTCTCTCTCTCTCTCTCTCTCTCTCTCTCTCAAGGAAGATAAGGAAGGAGATAAGAGGCAAAACGCAAAAAAAGACATAACGAGAGAGAATGAGACGGATAAAACGACAGACAGACGGACACATCACAGTATTTCTAAACATTAACAGACAAATATCCCAACAGGGTGACGGAAACAAAAAAAAAACACAGGAACCTTCACAAAAAACTAAGTCTCACTAAATGTTGCCAGGAGTAGTGGTGTTTTTTCTTATGTATACTGTATGTGTGTGTGTGTGTGTGTGTGTGTGTGTGTGTGTGTGTGTGTGTGTGTGTGTGTGTGTGTGTGTGATGTATAGACGTAAGATACTAAACGCACACTTGATTTATTTATTTATTTTATTTATTTTAGGCCTATGATACCTAATTATACATTTATTATTATTTTTTATATATGTATTTTCAGTTAAAAAAGACATTTCCGTATTTGTAATGATTTTTTTGTCTTATTAGAGGTCATTACAGGTCATTATTGGTCAGTATAGGTCATTATAGGTTGTTATAGGTCAGCATAGGTCAGCATAGGTTGTTATAGGTCAGTAAAAATAATTATTATTTGTAGTAATAATTTAATTCATTTTACAACCTTAATTAATCGTTACCTGTATAATTAGAGTAACTTGCTGGTGGATTAAACGCCAGACGTATACCTTAGACAGCATCTATCGTTCGCCACACACGCACGTTCGCCCACCTTTTGCCAACCAGGCACTTCGCCATGGCCGGAAACATAGGCAGTGTTGAAACTAATGAGCGCCGTAGCCAGTCTCTCGTGAGCCAATTATTAATGGCCAGTGTTTGTGTCTGACATTTTCATTGGATGGTTGAGCAGCGCTACTCTCCACCACCCCAGAATTATGAAGACTATTTTACTACGAGTTAGCTCTCTCTCTCTCTCTCTCTCTCTCTCTCTCTCTCTCTCTCTCTCTCTCTCTCTCTCTCTCCTTCTTCTTCCTTCCTTTTATCCCCTCAGCCATCGGGGGGAGATGGGAAGAAGAAGGAGGGAAGAGAAGGAAGGAAGGGAAGAGAAGGAAGAGAGGGAAGGAGGAAGAGGGAAGGAAGGGAGGAAGGATGGAGGGAGGAAGGGAGGGAGGGAGAAGGAGGGAGAGAGAAGAGAGGAGGAAGGGAGGAAAATGGAAACAATGCTCTATTCTCTTTTTTTTCCTCCCGACAGCTGTTTCCGACTCCCTAAACCCGCCCGGGAGTGTATCCTGGGCCATGTAGACCCCCATAGGGCCATCTGTAAACATGCAGGGCCATACAGAGCCACGTAGGGCCATCTGTAGACATGCAGGGCCATACAGAGCCACGTAGGGCCATTATTGGATATGCAAGTTCATACAGAGCCAGGTAGGGCCATTATTGGACATACATGGTTAAATGAAGCTATTAGTGGACATACACAAAGGGCCATATAGAGCCATGGAGGAGCACAGAGTCACACACTGGAGGAATGACTCAGTGTGTGGAACGGACAGACAGACAGACTGACAGACACGCAGATAAATAGACAAACAAATAGACAGAGAAGACAGACAGATAGAAAGAAAGACATACGGACAGACAGAGAGAATATAGACTGACAGATAGACAGAGATAGACATATAGACAGAAAGACTATTGACAAACATACAAGAGAGAGAAAGAGACAGACAGACAGACAGACAGACAGACAGAGACGACCCCTCATACATACACACACTTGACCATCTACGATACTCGAGGCCATTATTAGTACTGTAAAAACTCGCCGTAGACGCTGGTGGACCTCCTCATTGTGGTCTCATTTTGTGGTCAGAGTAGCCGTACCTCGCACCTAGTGGCCAGGGCACGTCTCATAGTGGCCATTATGTCCAACGTTTAATACATTACCTTGCGTGTTAGTTGCTTTCACTACTGGTCACTGATAATGTAGTGGTGGCCAGGAGAGAAGAGAGAGAGAGAGAGAGAGAGAGATAGAGAGAGAGATTAATTAACTTACACACTTTCACAATCCAAAAGCTCACTCAAGTTTAATCAACAATTTATCTTAAGTTTAAAGTTTTAAGTTCCCTTTTGAGTTATAAATTCCCTTAAGTTCAAGTATTAGTTTCAAGTTAACAAGTAAATCCACGAGTTACGAGAACGAGAAGATGGCGGGGAATATTCGCTATGACTCTAGGGAGGAGGAAGCGATGGCGGGGAATATTCGCTATGACTCTAGGGAGGAGGAAATGGCGATATTCGCTATGACTCTAGGAGGAGATGGTGGGGAATATTCGCTATGACTCTAGGGAGGAGGAAGCGATGGTGGGGAATATTCGCTATGACTCTAGGGAGATAAATAATTAACATGGGTAACTCTCTCCCTATCACTCACACTCTAAGTTACCCACCAAACACTAACCCTTGGGACACCGTCGATGGAGGAGGAGGAGGAAGAGGAACGAAAGGAGGGGGAGGGAGGAGGAGGAGGAACAGGAGGGGGAGGAGGAAGAAGATAATAATGTTAAAACTAACTCACGTTCTAAACACACACACACACACACACACACACACACACATTAAGTGGGTAACTTAACAACGCCGCTAGTGTTGTTGTGAGGACTTAGTGAGTTGAGGAACCATCTGAAGGAGTCATGGCACTGCAACACACCTGAGGTCTTCCTGTACCTCATCACTTCCTCCTACCTGAAGCAGTCGTGGCAGGTGAGATTAAGACGCAGGTGTTCCTTTGATTGGCTTAAAATAGTAGTTGGTGTTGTTAGGGACAGGTCGGGGGGTAATGGTTGTGTGCTGAGAAGTTGAGGTGTGTCAAGTGCTCTCTCTCTCTCTCTCTCTCTCTCTCTCTTCCTCTCTCTTTCATTTTCCCCTTATGGTCCCTCTCTCTCATGCCCCTCATCCTTTCCTCTATTCTCTTCTCCTCTCTACCTCCCTTTACTCCTCCTCTTCCCATCCTGTTCTCCCAACCACCAATTCTTCTCCTCCCTCCCACCCCACCCACCCACCCAACCCCACCCCACCCTCCCTCCCCTCCCTCCCTCCCACCCCACCCCTCCCCACCCCTCCTCCCACCCACCCCACCCCCCCCCAACCATTCTCTCCCTGACCACCCCCCCCCAGTCTAGTGAATGTTATCTGCCGTCCAATTGGTTGTTTATCAGGAGTCTATCTGGCCAAACTAGACCATACCACCACGGTCTCTCATAACTAGAGCAGAGCTGATGCTGAGTGCTCTAGAAACCACAATTAGAGACGAGAGCTGATGCTGAGTACTCTAGAAACCACCAATTAGAGACGAGAGGTGATGCTGAGTGCTCTAGAAACCACCAATTAGAGACGAGGTGATGCTGGGTGCTCTAAAACCACCAATTAGAGACGAGAGGTGATGGTGCTCTAGAAACCACCAATTAGAGACGGAGGTGATGCTGAGTGCTCTAGAAACCACCAATAGAACCAGAGCTGATGCTGAGTGCTCTAGAAACCACCAATTAGAACCAGAGCTGATGCTGAGTGCTCTAGAAACCACCAATTAGAACCAGAGCTGATGCTGAGTGCTCTAGAAACCACCAATTAAGGACGAGAGGTGATGCTGAAACCTCTAGAATTTACAGTTAGAGTACGTATCTAAATTCTCAAGAAGTTGGCATTAGAAAATCCTTAAATTACCTTCTAGAAACCGCTAAAAAAAAGATTTCTTTTGTAATCATCAGCAACCCCAAAATACCTCCTGAAGATATAGAAACCACTA